CGTGGAGGACGGTCATTGGTGTTCAAGGAATAAAATATCCCAGGTCCACCTCGAACCTGCCGAGGAGATTTGGTTCGCCCATTGACAAGGCTAAGTGTAAAAAGCCCCGATTCGACTTGGACGGGTTCGATCTGCTCAAACCCGACAGGTTCGACATGAAAAAAGACAAAGGTAACCGCCGATCGTGAGTACTGTTGGACCCGCCACCTATAAATAGAGGGCCTCATTTCACGCTCAGGTATCGAATCTCACCTCGAATTTAATATTGAGTCCGATCAAAACTGACTTGAGCTTCAGAGAGTTTGCCCTCTTGTGCAGGTTCACTCTTGAGTTCAGGTCAAGTCGGAGACCGGGTTCGAGCTTGGTTCGTTTAACAGCGTTGTGCAATTCTTTGCATAAACACATAGGAACATTTTGTTTATAAATATTATGTGCATTGATTTAAATTTGTTAAATTAAAACTCTAGAGTATATTTCTATTGTTAATTATAAATTTATTATAATTCATTAAAATTAATATAACCAATTAAAAGTTGACTAAAAATAAATATTATAGAAGTATATAATATAATATTTTTTTATATTATTTTTTATTTATTAATCAAATACACAAAAAAAAAAATTAACTTTTAAATGTAAAATATGAGTATCTATTTTTCAAAATAATTGATAAGATCATAATGCTAAGAATTAGAAAAATCAATCATATTTTTATTAAGTAAAATAAAAATGGTTGGAAAATCATCATTGAATACAAGAAAATTTAAGTGCTAATAAATGTAAGAAATTTAATTTAAAAATGTCAAATGTGAAGGGTTTTATCATTTGACTTTCTTGAAATATTTTATCTCTAATTATAATTAAGTATAGAGCATTAATTGAGTTTAAATTTCAAAAGTTTTATAATGTTTTCTAAAATATATGGCATTATTTAACCAACAAATTTGAGTTATATTAATTATATCCATTTAAAACATTTATTTTTTTTTTTTGTGCTTTTGATATATTTTTCAGTAAACAGTGATATTTTAAAAATTTTTTATTTATGTTAGTGAAAACTTAAATGAAAATAACAAATATAATTATGGAAATGTTATTGCGAACAAAATCATGCATAAAAATTATTTGAATGAGTAAATTAAAGTTAATTGTTGATTGATTATGTTTTATTGATAATTTCTATCCAATCTAGTCTATTTTGAACAAGATATGTGAAATATCGAGATTTATATAATTTCTAGTACACAACTAAAAACAAGTAACTTAATTAACACCAAGACGATCTTGGAGGATCCAGTGACATATATTGTGTAGGAGAAATAAAAGAAGATTTTAGTTAAAAGAGAATAATAAAAAAAAATATTGATAGTACCTATCATATATATAAAAGAAAAATAGTTTTTTTTTTCTTTTTTAAGAAACATGATAGCAAAAGTTGCTACATATAATATTGACGCTGCAAGCTTGTCCCAGGCAAAAGTTGTTTATTTTCTTTTTTCTGATGGCTTGTGGCGCCGACCTCAGGGGTCACTCCATCTTTGTCAGTTGGTCTCTGAGGTTTCATCTGTTCCAGTTTTGGCTGGGAGGGAAGATGTGCCCGTTTGGATTCTGACATCGTCAGGTCTTTTCTCGGTGTCAAGTGCGTGGGATGTGTTGTGGCCGGTTCGGCTTCCTGTTCCTTGGTTCTCTCTACTTTGTTTCGATGGAAACATTCTGAAGCATTCTTTCATTGCTTGGTTGACGATGCGTGATCGACTTGTTACGTGGGATCGCTTATGCCATTGGTATTCTTCCGTTCCTGTTTTCCTATGTGTTTTGTGCTCACTTTGAGTCCCGAGATCATCTGTTCTTTGAGTGCCCTTTTAGTTGGGAGGTCTGGTCTGGAATGATTGTCTAGGCTGGTTCTTCTCACTGGGTTTCATATTGGTCTATTGAACTTGCTTGGACCTGTCATATGAGTACTGGAAACTCTGCCGTCATCGTGTGCGGCGTTTGGCATGGACTTCAACTGTTTCCTTTATTTGGAGAAAGCGTAATGCTAGAGTTCATGGGGGTGGGGTAGGCTAGTCGCCTTCTGCCCTCTTGTGCAATTTGAAAGCTGAGGTTTATTTTCGGTGTACTTCTTGGCGTGGGAGCTGCTGCTTGAGCTATGATCCTATGTTTATCTCAGTCTGGGATTTGTTTTCTTGATTTTCTCTCTGCTTTCTTGTCTTGTGTCTGACCGTTGGGTGCCGTGTCTTGATCGCGAATAGTGAGATCCTCTGTTTTTGTTTCTTTAATATATTTACCTTTGAAAAAAAACATGATAGCAAGAGTTTAAAAGGAGTTTAAGAGAATCATTTAAATTTGTGATGGAAGAAAAAGGAGAAATGGAGGGAAGAGAAGAAAGAAGAATGGGAGGGATAGTACAGTTTAAAATTAAAAAGTTAAAAAAAAAAACTAAACAAAAAAAAACTAAAACTAAACTAAAATAAAATAAAAAGAAAAAAAAACCACTAAAACTAAACTAAAAGTTAAAACTCATCCATGTTCCCACATTGATTGTGGCCGTAAGAGGGGAGGGGAACATACGGAAAAAGAATGGGAGGGATACTAAAATTTAAAATGAAAAAGTATAAAAAAAAAAACTAAAAAGAAAAAAAGAAAAAAAAAATCACTAAAACTAAAAGTTAAAACTCATTCATGCTCCAACATGATTGTGGCCGTGAGAGGGGAGGGGAATGGGCTCCGCCCAACAAGTTTAATTTTTTTTAGTCTATCAACTTCGATATTTTGGTTAAATTTCCATGCAGTGGACTACTTAACCAATTGGACAAAGATAGAATCTTGGCAGCATTTTGACAACCCAACTTCAAATAGTTTTGTTCTGATTTGGGCACCAAGCACCACAACTCTTCATCCACTCACCCCAAGTCAATGGGTAGGTTGAAGTTGTTAACAAGAAAATAGAATAAACATGAAAGCAAAGCTAAAAGGCCTAAAAGGAGCGTCGGTGGAATAGCCGTTGAGTGTGTTGTGGGCGTATTGAACGACCGCGCATACCTCAACCAGAGAAACTTCTCTCTCTAGCTTTCTGTGCCGAGCAGCCGTCCCCGTATAAGTGGACCTCCTCTCACCTCGGGTCGAGCACTTGAACGTGGAGGGTAACAAGAAAGCCTCCAACTAAACCTAGACCTCCTGTAGGAATCTAGAGAAGTGACAAGGGTTGTCGAGTACAAAAATCGGGTCACCCGATACTACAAGAATAAGGTGAAGCAAAGGACCTCTAAAGTAGACGTGTCTAGCACTACAGAAGGTCATGCAGAACACCAAAGAGCTCGTCACTGACACGCTGTTGTCCTAGCAATCTATGTGCCAAACGATGTACAAGTGTACACAATATAGTTGTAGCAAGTAATAAAAAGATCGTATCCACACTAATTGGAAATATAGATCTATAACCAATCAAAGCAAAACAATACACCTCTTTGTTTATCCAAACAATACAATTACTAGAGTTCAAGGTTATTAACAAAGCATTCAAGAAATTCAAACACTGAAAAATCTTTACTCGACAGCAAGGCCTCAATATTTAAGCAACGGAGTTTACAAGTAAGAGTTATCAACCTCCCCTAAATGGGTTTAGCTCAAACACATTTCAAAAAAGGTCGAAAAGGATGAAATAATACAACTCATGTTGAAATTGCTGAAAACAAGAAAGAAAACAAAATTGGTCCTCTTTTTAGCCGTTGGATACAAGTTCTAGCTACTGTTTGCTTCCTGTGTTGGGTCAGCTTCCAGCTCTCCAAGTATTCTCCTTCTAGTCGTGTCCTCCTAAAATTCCTCTCAGGATTGCTGCTTTGGATCTCTATCTTTTAGTATTTATACTGCCCCTTACAACTTGGGAAACAAAATTCAGGTTGTACGAACATCAATAAAAATCGTGGGTGAAACAAGATAATGAGTTGTTCTACTTTCATAACCTACAATCCAGCAATGCTTAAATCTGGCCCAAACCCTTAAAATGAGTGAACTTTTTATACTTTTGGAAATAATACTCAAAGATGACTCATTTTCCCGATCACAGTAATTAAACATTGAACAAACATGAGAAACTGAGGCCCTTAAAAGCACAACAACTTTTTCTAAAATAAAGCCAAAATAACTCCTTTATGGAGAGTTATCACACGCTAGGACCAATCTAGGAGGGACCCTACCAGGTGACTGAAGTCATAGCCCAAGCACGTACAGGCTCGCCGATATAGAACATAAGGGTGTTAAAAAAAACCGACAACCCGAAGAGTCCGAACAACCTAACCCAAACTGTAAGAGTTGGGTTAGGTTGGATAAAAGCTCGAGTTTGGTCCGGTTAAATTTTTTCCAAACTGAGTGGTTCAGTTCAATTTGCAGGTTCAACCAAACTGAGATTATATATATATATATATATATATATACATGCATACATATAGGGTTTTACATTTAAGATTCTTACCTCTTTTCCTCCTCTCATCTCATAATTTCATCACCCCACTTCTCTCATCTTCTATCTCACGCCATCACCTTTTACAATTCTCATCTCTGATCTAACCAATCGTCACTTTCTCTTACCACTCTCAGTCTCCTTCAATCTTTCTTGATCAATAGGTGATGCTACTGCAGTTGATTTGGGGAAGGATATTGACCCAAGGTTTCAATTGGAAGTTCAATCGACGCAACAAATTGCTGAAATTGAAAACATCAGGGTTTGTAGAAGCGAGATTGCGGAGTTTGAATCGAGGGAGAAGGATGAACTGGTATCGAAAAGGTTGAAATTGTCCAAGGAATCATTGGGTACAACCTCTTTTGGACTTATTAGAGGTATCGCCTGTAGCAAGAGATTGTCGCCTGTCACCTGTAGCAGGAGGTCATCGCCCGTCACATAAAGCCAAAGGCTATCACTATAAGGCCCCAGCACAAATTCGGACTAGGATTCAAAATCTAGATTCAGCACACCTAATTGCCCTGGCATCTCCCTACATCCCCTGCGATCCTTTCAGCATGCTTCGTCTTCACTCATCAATTAGGAGGTCACCCAATCGAAGATTGGCCCAGGTCAACCAAACTTAACTTTGGAATTCTTAAGATTAAGTTACCAAAAAACAATACAAGAAATAATGTTTTATGCGGTATCATTTTACGACGATTTTCCAAAAATGTCCTAAAACGAAAGTATTTTCAGCGAACCGTCAATAACGAGCGTCTTTGAAAATAACTTTTAGCGACGCGGTACATCAAATGCGTCATATTAACAAGTTCGCCAAAATGGACTTTGAGGAGACGCATTATTTACTATGCATCACATAAAGTGTCAAATTAAACTCCCACCCGTTTCCCCTTCCTCATTCGTGATTTTGGTCTCAAACCCTTGCCGCAGACTTCGCCTTATTGTCACTGCTCCTTCGTCGCTCGATCACCAGTTCTTCTCCGTTCGGTCGCTGGTCCTTCGCCATTTCGTCACTGCTTCTTCGCCGTGTCATTGCCGTTCCGTGTGGGTCTCGCGACAGATTTCAATTAAGGTACATTCCTTTCATTTTCCTTCTTTTATTTCTCGAACCGTAGCCACAATTTAGTGCCATGTCTTAGCGTATTGTTTCACTTCCATCTATTTTCTTTAATATTTGTAGGCCCAATCCCCAAAATCTTATTATTCTTGCTTAACCGTAGCCACAATTTAGTGCCATGTCTTAGCGTATTGTTTCACTTCCATCTATTTTCTTTAATATTTGTAGGCCCAATCCCCAAAATCTTATTATTCTTGCTTTGTGAGGTGAGTTACAATTTTCTGCTCTCGTTTCAATGTATATATTTTTATGGATCTGAATTGAAATTAAGTATTGTATGGTTTGTGTAATGATTATGACGTAAATTGAATCTTTATTGAAATGTTGGTGAAATTGATTTTTATATTGTTTGTGGGAGTAGAAATGCAATGGAAAGTGAATTGGGTCCAAAGAAGTTGTAGGGAAGGAAGTTGAAATTGAAATTTTTGTGAAGTGAGTGGTATTGAAGTGTATGGAAAGGAGTTGATATTGAAATTTTTGTGAAATGAGTGGTATTGAATAGAAAATTTGTTGGTGATGTTTTGAGGAGATCACTAAGTTATTCTTGTCCCTTGACATGTTTTTTGGGTTAGAGCTTTAGTTTTTGCGGTCATCCAACACTAACGTTGTATTCTTTTATCTTATTATTGAACTTTGTAAAAACGTTTTCAAAATATAAGTGGAAGAAGGTGTTGAACCTCCTTTAGCCTGATAAGTGACTTTTTGGTCTAGTAATTTAGGTTGTTTTTAAGTTATTTGATAGTTTTTACCGACCTTTCCTTTGAGTAGTTTAATTGTTTTTAGTATTTCTTTCTTTTGTAGGACTTGAGTTTGAAGAAGAGGAGGAAAAGATCAAATAAAGAAGCAAAAGCGAGCCAAATTCCAGTGCGTTGGGCGCCTAGATGCAGAAAATTGACAAAATGGTAGAATGTTGGGTTCCTAGGCGCTACAAAGTTGGAAGCGAAGTTTTTGTTGGCATGCGTTTGGGCGCCTAGGCGCTCGTGACAAAATTTTGTTAAATATCTCATTTTAGCCCTAGCCGTGAATGACAAAAATAGAGGGGAAGAGACATTTTTAAATAGAAAAGTGGGGACTTTGAGAAGATTGGAAGGAACGGAGGCTCGAGAGATCACGGATTTGTTTTCTTTCTCTTCTTCTTTCTCTCCTTTAGCTTCAAGTTCTTTCAATGATGTTGATTGATATTTTCTTTTTGGATTCAAGCATGAACTAAATATATTTTCTAGGGCATTGATGTAGCCTTTATCAAACTTTACTCTTCTATGTTCTTTATTTGATTTTCTTTCTAAACTTGTTGGTTGTGAGAACTTTTTCTATTCTTAATGCATTGTTTAGATTTGGTCATTCTTTACATTGATTCCTTGTCATATATCGAGGTTGAGAAACAAGATTATTGACTAGATCTGAATAGTTCTCCCAAATTAAAGAAAGAGATAAAGACATTCTTGTGAATTTTGTGGCATAGTTTTTTGGTTCTACATGCTTAATTATTTGAATTGTAGGAGTAGTCATAGAGATATAGATACTCTACTTTTCGAAGAAAATCGTTATTGCTTGAGAAAGAATATCTAGTCAATAGGGTAGAATCTGCTAACAACCATTGTTTAGAAAAATTTCGCATAAAGTAGTAGGAACAGTTAAAGGGCGATATCGGTCATGCTCTAGAACTTACTCTTGATTCTTGATAGTTGTGTTATTTTCTTCTGTTATTGAACTAGTTTCTTTTAGAATTACTTCATTTCACCACCATTAAACGATCGACATTCAGATAAAACTGAAATGGAGAATTTGGTAATTAGTAATCATTCATTCCTTGTGGAGACGATACTTTACTCAGTTATATATTACTTGCAACGATTCGTACACTTGCGAATTCGAACAACACAGCCCGACAAGTAAGTGTACAAGTACTGCGCAAGCGAGATGCACTTGGATGAGAACCATCAACGTCAACTGCTCAGAATAAACAGAGTTCTAAAAGGTACGCATACATATTGTCCATAACGCATGAGTATTTAAGTAGATGATACTTATAATAAATATTGGAATTGATGTGGTTTGAAGTGTTGTGACTATCCTTCAGTTATGGTAGTCAGAACAGAATATGAGTTTGTTAAGCATTTGAGTTGTTTATATTGGTTTTGATGTACTTAAAACGTTGTGACTATCATGCAGTTATGGTGATAGGCATAGCCTACGTTGTCAGCATATTCACAAGTGCATTTATGTTCCTTATATTGGGTTTGATGTGTGTTAAGGGGGTGTTCAGTATCGTAACTATTTCTTATGTGTAGACATGTTCAATTTGATATAGGATTATAGCAGTAAAAATAGTTTTTAAAACTTTTCATGATTATGCTAGCTTTACTTTTTACCATATGTGTAAACATATATAGCTTGGTTGCATTTGTGTTTCTTATATGTAGACGTCTTTAGCCTTACAAAATGAATTCTTAGTGCATTGATGATTATACAAACTTTAGTTGTTGCCTTGAAAAATTAATTCATACTTAGACATATTTGTGTAGTTCTTACACTTTTTATTTAATATTTTTCCAACACATTATATATATGGTAGTTTTTGAGGGGTGGGATAAGGTGTGATTTTTAAGCTAGTTTATAGTCTCAAAGGACACCCAGTAGTTTAAGTCACATAAGTAGTTTACAACACTTTTTAATTTCGTACGATTCTTTTTTATGTAATAGCATTTTCATACTTTTCGTTTCATTATTTCAGGTCTGTAGCTGTCCAATCTTCAAGGTTACAGAAGCCAATATGAGTCGTTGTTTTCTTTTGATATATGTTTTCTTTTTTCTTTCTCGACAATGAGTGTACTGAATATAGATCTTATGTAAGACCATTTGCAATTAAATCCATTGACTTTTCTCATAAACTTCTTTTGCGTTCAAATGACAATATTAGGAGGTTCATGTAATGAATATCCAAGTATTAATTAATTTTTTAGGTACAAATTGATACACGACAACCCCAACGTATTGGACTATTCGAGCCACAAGCTACTTGAATCCAATTATATAGATGGTTACAACCCAAACGGCTAAGAGTTAGACGGATTGCCTTCGCAGTCGATTACCTTGAGCAGACAGAATACTTACTATATTCAAAGCCGGAAACACTCCACGAGTTTGGTGACCAACCAACCAAGCATGTTCCGAGGGTAAAAATATAGATTCC